GTTCATTGTGTAGAAAATGTGTAACGGAGATGAGGCCTATTAAACTGCTGAAGGAACATCCAGCATTGTTGTTCTACCCAGCACCGGTATTCATGTGCAGGCATGAAATGATTTGTGTTACACATAAATCTGGGCTTTGTTTTTCATTCTGAATTGCAGATCGTTGACAGCAATGTATCTAGCTACATTACTTTGTGTACACCTGAAAGGGAACGCTAGCTCTTTGTATTATTGTGGTGTTTGTTGATGTTTTCATTATAGTCCTCTTTGAGTTTTTATTTTCCTATCTCTTTTTACACTTTGGCAATTGCTAAAACAATCTATATTTGATGTGCCATTTCTAAAGCTGATGTTCAATCTTTGCTCATTGAAACTTATCCACGAGTTTATTTTACCACGTCTCAAGAAGTTCGACGCAAGCAACGTTCGTTGTGCTTTACTGCGCTGCTTTTTTGCGCCCCGTTCAGATAACCCAGCAGCCGCCTCCCACCTTCACTGCCCTCGTGCAGGAGGGAATGGCTCACGCAGAGCGCATCATCAAGTCCGTCATGCTCCCTGTCGGCTCCCCCTCCAGCCCTCATTTCGCACCGCCAGCGCAGCAGCAGGCCTCGTCGGACCAGCCGCCGCCGGCCGAGGGACCGCCGCCCACGCCAACGGGCTTCGTCATGGGCCCAATCAGTGCCAAGGCGGCCGAGATATTTGTCAAGAGCTTCCTGCAGTTGATACCTACTGCAGATTTACAAATTCTGCAGAAAGTTTTGGATATGAAAGTATAACCACTCTCTCACATGTCAATTTGAGCTCAAACTTCATTGAGCAAATTATTTAAGCGTTCCCATCGTAGTAGATCATACAAAGAAATAAGGCCTTTTAATTGGGCGATTTCAGTTATTTTCTGAGACACAGATTGTAATCGTGAGCTAACATTCACACAAGTGAGCCAGTGTTGAGATGTGCGTCGGCTGACACGGGAAGTGCGGTTCATCCCTAAAACCGTCGAATTTACTAATTTTCCTCTGCAAATGTTTAATGTAAATCCGTTTGCGATGGGATTTGTTAAATGGCTATCAATGATTTGTGGACATGAAATCGACTACAGTCTCGCATGGTCGAGGCTTCGGTTATGGTTGTTGGTACATCGCAAACCATCCATCAATATTGACTTCTACCCGGAACTCGATCTTTATTCACTTCTTCAACAATCGTAACCAAACATCGTCTTGTGAATATTCCGTCATTCTTTAGGGTTAATTTCTTCGCTCAGCCTAATTCGTGCTTGATTTTTGCCACGCCCTAATCAATAATATCTTGGACGCCCGCTCAGGTAGCCAATGCGATCTTGTATGTTCGTTCGCTACTACTTTGGTCACAGTCAGACCGTTGGGATTTATTCTCATGAAGATTAGCTAGCTTTGTGTAGCACACCACGGTGTTTGAGTCACTCTTGTGCGTGTGAGGTGCGGGATTTCGATTCCAGACTGGACGCCTTCAAGGGAGATCCCAGATTTACAGGAACTGTCGTCTACCTCTACCGAGGTTTCTCAGAAAGCTATTTTCGGTTCTTACCTGCTGCATTTTAGTTACTTATTGAATCGAAATTTATGGCTACTTTTCGCCTAATGACAGTTTAGTATTTGCTCATAGGGCAGAGCTTCAAATATCGGCTCACCTGGATCTTTCGTTCTTTTGTCTTGATTGCAGTTGTGGTTTCTAAAATTGCATTTGTTAAGATGTCCGGCGCTTTTTTTAAGTTAGCTCCTCTTCCATTTTAGGGCATCAAGCGAAGTGACCAGTTTACTATCATCGATGAGTTTCGCACAGCGCTCAAATCAAAGCAAACGCAAGATCAGTCTGAGTCGAAGGAAGGTTCAACTATCACGGAGCACTCCACCTTCGCCGGTAGTATGAAAAACCTGCGTTGCAAAAAGTGACCAAATACCCACTATCCCACTCTGTGATAGAATTTCACCTCTATACACTGCGTACTTGTTAATCTTGTAAATTGTAGGATGATCACGTTAACCCTTTGCTGAGGGTCTTGTCGCTGTCCTGCATAAGAGAATCCTAAATTGTGTGCAATCACTCGAAGTGCCTGATTTCAAAATTCACTAGCTAGGGCTAGATGGTCTCGTCGTTGTATTGGTGGTTTCGTAGCACTTAGATGCTGCCGTTCATGTCGAAACAATCAAGTAACCTTCCACAATGTAAGTAAAGCCCCACCCTCGAGGTTCACTAGTCGAGTCCGTGTCAACGAAACACGTGATCGCTGAGCACTCTTGATTAAAACGTCTAACTAATCATCGGCTTGTAATCGCTATTTGACACTGACTTTTCTCCATTGCTTCTTGCTTTAAGGAGGGCTGTTTCCCGGAAGCCTATTTTTGTTGGTCTTTTTATCAGCAGGACTCGGACCATTATGCAGCACAAATTTACCACACAGTTGACTAGTTCTCTTCTTCGCAGACTCTTATAATACTATTGTGTGGAAACTGCCTAACCACTACTAGTTTCACAGTCGTTTCTGCTATGCAAAGCTTTGGATTAGATTTTGTTCGTTTGTTTATTTTTGTCCAGTTTCCAATCCACAATACACAGTTCGTCATGGGTAACCGTCCTGTTCTCGTCAGTCCAAATATTCAGCTTCTTTTGGCAAGTAGTTACTTTGCGGGAGTTTTGCCCTCCTTTCTCAAGGTCTCCAGAACATTCGAGATAAGGTGATACACGCTGTCGTCGCATCTTACTTGTCATCTAGTTTGAGCTTCCTATGCCCTCTCGATCAAAACATTAAGTGTGAAATGCACCTCGTCTCTTTTATTTCCTGGAGAGCATAGGCTTAAGCACAATGACTTCACCGATTTATTGGCTATATTGCGCAAGTTGCGTTCATAGAAGAACCTAGTTCAGCTGGTATTTCGGGCCCTGTTCCCTTTGTGCACGTCTAGTAACAATTTGCATTCACGCATAGTAGTATTGTATCAAATCTCACACTTCTGGTCCGTGCTTGAGATATTCGTAAAGTAGTCGAACTCGCTACAACTTACCTGATTAGCTCATCGAACTTGCGAAGGTCGTTTATTCATAGGATAGTCGCCATTTACGGTAAAACAGGCAATGCGAGTCATGAATTTTAATGTGTGGTAAAAAGGTTCGTTAGTACGTTAATGAAAAAGAATTTGGCAATTGCTGTCCTTTTCAACTCAGCAAGTAGCAAACATGCAAAAAGCTTCATCATAAACACGCTCCTTCCCCTGTTAACGAAGGGAGCATGGCCGCTCCCAAGGCAGTCCACAACGTTTGAGGCACGTGGTCAAACGAGGGAAGGCGTGTGTACTTGTGTGAAAGCGAAACATGATTGATGCATTCCCGGGATAAGGCCCTCAATACGGATTTACAATTTTCGTTTGGAACGCCGCTGTTCACGTTGACCAGGTTCTCGCACAACATGCT